CAGCAGGAAACCCATGATTTCCTGACACACAGCAGGCAGGAGAAAGAAAGGAAAAACTCCATTAAAAACCTCCAGGCTCTCCTCCATGTTAGAAATGAAATGGAAAATGGAGTGGATTTAACAGGAATCCCTGCTTCTTGCGGCCAAGCTGGAGGAAGGGAGAAGCGAATTAAAGCCACAGGCTGCTGATATTTTTTAAGTCACAATAAATACTGAGAACTCCGGGGCAGGATGAGGATTTCCTGACTCGGACGAACGGGAGAGGACAGATCGCTTTTTTATGATATTCCTCGCTGTATATTTAATTTATTCACCTCGATGATTCTCTTGACTGATCTGGTAATTGTTAGAAGCGGCTGTGACAGCCTGGAAACATTAGTATGATTTCCTGAGTTTGAGATTTGCTGCCCCAGGCTCCAAACTCAGGGAAAGTCAATACAATCGCACTTCATTTTTCCTTCATGTGCACTGGGAAGACCTGGGAGCAGCAAGAGCAGCGGCAGCGGCAGCAGCAGCAAGAATGAACTGCAAGGAAGAAGATGACAACTGCACTGACGGGAGCAGCAATAACACGAAGAAGATGTTAAAATGCGTGGTGGTTGGGGATGGTGCTGTTGGGAAAACCTGTTTGCTGATGAGTTATGCCAATGATGCCTTCCCAGAGGAGTATGTCCCCACTGTGTTTGACCACTATGCAGGTAAGCACGTTCTTTAAAAGAAATTTAATGGTGAGCTGCAGGAGAGCCAGGTGGGAGATAAAAGAAGCTCAAGGAGAGGAGAGGACAGTTCAATAGGGATGCATGGGTTACTTCTTGTCCAGGAATGTGATTCAGGCCTGGATGGTAGCCAGGCAGCTTAGATGGCAGCTGATACAATTGGGGCAGTGCAGGATTTATTCAGAGAACTTATTTGTTTGCTTCTGAATTTTATTTTTGTTTCAGCAAGTAGGCAGTGTTAGGGATGCAATTAAATCCACTGGATTTTTGGGACAACAGATATAATTCAGCCTCCATCAATTTGTATTCATGGTTTGGTTTTGGAATTCTGAAGTTCTGAACTTTGCAGGCTGCAGTTACAAAGACTATATATAAGCACACACATAAAAGTATATGCTATGGGTGATCTTGTGCCTCATGGCAAATGATGCATAAATTACAATATTCATGTCCTATTTAAGGAGTAATCTTTGAGAATATATCCTATTTAAGGACTAAGCTTTGAGAAAACCAGCATAGTCTCTTTCAGTGCTGCCACAATATAACTCTCCTTTCAGAGACATGTTACTCCATCTATAAATAGATTTGAATATTGTAACCTGATGGTAAGGAAAGCAGAAGTGGTGAATGGTTTGAGTACTTTATAGTGAGGGGATTTGTAGTATAAGAAAAAAATACAAATATAATAAAGATCATCGATGATATTCACTGCATCGCTGTGCAAAGCAGACCCACAGATTAAATACAGTATTCACAGGCCTCTTTCTGTAGCAATTCCTTACTTTATCCAGCTGTACCCAAAGTTATCATGCTGATGGTGTGATAGGCTAAAAGTCTGGCTCAAAGTTCTGCTTAAATTTTCCCATCCCAAATTCTTCTGCTTTTCTTCTCTTGCTGCTCCTGTGGTTTATGATTGTTGTTCTTTATGATATCCCTGAAAAACAGATTCTAGAAGTGCTGCAAAACTCATTACTTATCCTGCAGCAGCAGTTGGAGTTTCCCTCATTCTCTCTCCATCTCCTTAAAACCTTAAATTTCATGGCGTGACTTATCATAGATTTGGTATTCTGTAATGGGAAAATCTCTGTTTTCATTCTGGCTTTGTGTCAGATTTAGCAGATGAACTGGCCAAACAAGAAAGCTGTGTAATTGTAGAATCTGATCCATGGACATGTGAAGACCTTTTCCTCCACAAGAGTGGGCAGCGTCACTTCTAATGCAAGCAATGTTCTGTTTCCCCTATCCTTCCCACCAGATAGATTAAACAACTATTTCAGAATAAAACCTTTACCTGGACAAGATACACAAAAGAATACTGCATATTACAAATACATACTTCCATAAGCCAAAGACCTTAAGGAAGCCTGGCTACGTGAATTTATGCCTTATGTTGCAACAGCACCCGCTTTCCCATGATAAGCTGAGATTTGTTTGTCACTTACAGCTTCACTCCCCAGCAATACGCCAGTCCCAGCACCCACTGCCCTTCTCTCTCTCTCTCTCCCATGCCCTGCAAATACCTCCGTGTATGGAAAAAGCCATACAGTAGCTGGTAGCAGACCTTGTATGCATCAGCCTGCGGGCTGGGTGGTTTTGGTGTGAGCGTGGGGGCACGCGTGTGTGCACACACACAGGCGCTGATGCCAGACAGGCTGGCACTTGGAAGGGGGCACCACACCGAGTTTCTCTTCCCTACCCAGCAGCAGGTGACTCACAGGGACTTGCTTTGATTTCCTTTCCTCTCTGTCAGGAGTGGCAGAAAATGCCAGTGGGCTCAAATGTTACTGAGGGAGAGACGGGCTGAGAGAAGGATGGGAAGATGAAGAGTGTCACTGTGTAATCCTTATTTCCTTAGGGTGCCAAGTAAAAGCAATATGCATGCACTTTTAAATCAAGCTACATTTTCAGGGTTTGAAGATTTAGGTCTCTAAAATAGCTCCAGCTATTCTTGTTTCTCTTCTTAGCTATCATAGCACATAAATACAAACTAAGAATGTTTTCAATGAGAAAGTCCAGAAAGATAGGGGGGAAAATAGCTCTGTATATTAACATGCTATTCTGAGACAAACCCTGTCCAGCATCAGCAGTCAAAACTAGCATTGATCAAAAATGGAATTTCAGTTTTTTGAGAAATCCCATCATTTATAAAACCAATTTCACTACAAAACTGTACACAGGATTGAGCAGTGCAAACAACTTCTGAAGCGGAGTGCTGGAAAAAAACCCACTTGTATAACATAAAAATATTACATCGCATGAAGTATAACATAAACCTATTTAAAATACTATGGGGATTGAGACAGAAAAGAGCTCACTTGGGGCAACCTTACCCCTGGGCTCACAGCCTTAAGGATATTCTGTGACAACAGCCCCTTCCACATCTATCTACATGGCAGCTCATGATCAAGAGGAGGGGCAGCACAGTGGTACCACAAGCACAGTGGTACCACGGGCATGGTGGTACCATGGGCACGGTGGTACCACGGGCATCATGGTACCACAGGCAATATGGCACACCAGGAGGCTTCACACACGGACAGGTCCTGCAGGATGGTTGAGGCTCTGGAAAATCATGTCTGAATTTACCACAGGGAACTGGTTTGTCTGCCCCTGCCATTGCTCTGCTAAAACCAACTGTTCCAGCTTTCCCAAAAAATGCTGAAACCATTTGATTCAGTTCTTCTGTGCTGGAAATGCTCAGAAGCAATTAATTGCCGCAGATTTTTGCAAAGCTGCACCTTCCATTGAAGATTTTTCACCCAGGCTTTATTACCAGCAGTGGTGTGTTAGCACGCGCTTCCTCTTGCCTCACCAGGTCACAACGTGGTTGTGAGTCCCTGGGCATTTACCAATTTCCTTCTTTCTAATGGAAAAAGTTGGGAGGGGGAGAAGCATTAAAAATCGAGGATTCCAGTGGTGATCTCAGAGCAGTTTCTCACTGCCGCGACTCCAGCGACTCGGGGGAGACAGTGATGCTATCCAGCCCAGCATTGGGAAAAGCTCCAGACGCACCACTGCTGTGGCCAAGGCATTAACCATTCATGGCCCTGCAGCCCCTGCTATGTTTATTTGCTCTGTTGAATTGCATCTTTTTAATTCCTTCCTTGGGCAGGTTTTCATGGCACAGATGAAGCAGGTGAACATACTGACAAGGGTGGCCCAGAGGAAGCAACCAGTATTTCAAGGGGCTGAGCTCCAGCAGTATTAATTCTGTATGGTACTTGTTCAGTGCCTTTCACATGAAAGGGCTTGAAACCACTTTATAAAGTTTGAGCCCAACCTACCTCTAAGAAAATCAAAGGCATTACATGGATTTCACCCTGGGAAGGAACAGGCTACCTGCAGATATCTCACACAGCATTTACAACTTGGATACACCAATGCCTGGAATGAAAGTCTGTTGGTGGGTCACTGTACAGAAGTCCAAACCAGTTATTAGTTCCACACTAGTAATGTTCTGCCACAGATTTCACCCACAGTCCACAAAAATGAATTTGTTCAGGGCCTGGTGCCAGGGTCGGGGTGTGATAGATGTAGAGTAGGGGCAGCAGCAATGCCAGACATGGGGAAGGCAAATTTGTTATCTGGATGTGAAACTGGGTTCTTTTGTTGGATGTGTGGAAGTTTAAGATTCTGGTTATTTCTCAAGGCATTTTGAAGAGGTTTTGCTGGAGACCAGAGCTCTGAGCAGGTTTCCTTACCTTTGATGAAATTCCAAGTCCCACACTGGAAGGGTTTAGGCATGAGGTAAAATGACTTTTTCTAGGGCAGGCGAACCAAAGTGCTGTCCCAGTGACAAACAGGATATTACTGGCAATAACTGTAACAATAGGGACTGTTTGGATAGTGAGTAGAAGCTTTAACATGCTGGTTCCATTCCGTCTTTTGAACATCAAATGCTGATTTTCCATGAGCAAAGGTCTCTCAGCCAGGATGACTCGTATTGTATCTATGTGAGGTTATAAATGTTTAACTAGGGCTGAGGTTGTACCAACAAAAAAATTCAATCCAGCTACTAGCAGAATTGATTTAATAGTACCAAAATTAACTGGTTTGTTCTGTGAAAGACAGAAGGGAGGTGCTGTTTGTTATTTAGGCAGCCACCAAGCATACCATTTAATATACATGAGTGCTAAAAACCCAGCAACTTTCAGCATGAAATTTATTCACCCTAAAATTCATATTCAGGGTCCCCAGAGAGGTGGTTGATACCACATGCCTGTCAGTGTTCAAGAGGTATTTGGACAATGCCATTAATAATTTTTTTAACTTTTGGTCAGCCCTGAAGTGGTCAAGCAGTTGGACTAGATGACCATTGCAGGTCCATTCTAACCGGAACTATTCTATTCTATTCTATTCTATTCTATTCTATTCTAAAAATGTGTTTATTTTTCTATGTTAAAAAACATCAAGGACTGGGGAGCAGTACCAATGTCATGCAACTAACTTTGCCCACAGTGGAGACAAAAGCAAATGGACTCATTAGATGGCTGGCATCTAAGGAGAAGAGGGTGAAAAGTCTTAAACTGTCTAGTTCAGGCACAGCACATAGGTGAATGTCATACAAATAGCTTTAGGAATCAAAGTTGTGTCTTTGGTAAATGAGAGAGGTCAGCCCCTCCAAAGGAGAACTGCAAAGCATCTGTGCTAAAGGCATAAAGTAGATGGTGTAAATATATCTCTCCCTCCCCTCATGCGTCGGCACAAACTGGTGAACATTTATAAATAGTGAATCCATTTGAAAAAAATTAGCAGTGGCATGTGATCAGCTAATGAATAGCATACAGAATAGTTCAGCCATGACTGAAGCTCAGTAAATTAAAAGCAACACAGAAGACAACTGCCATAAATTACTGTTAGAAGACACATTTTTTTGTTCTTTAGTGATGATTTAATCTAATATGTCTGACTTTGTGCTGAAGTGGGCTGGAGCACTCACCAGTCTCACAGAGCAGTGATCCCAACCTTGCTGGCCAGGCAAG